AAGTTTTTTTATTTAATTATTTATGTTAAATTAATTTTTATTTATGTTTAAATAATTTATATTTGATTTTATATTTAAAAAAATTTAATTAATTATACTTAAATTTTTAAAATTTTATTAATTATAATTAAACATTATTAATTATACATAAAAAATTTATATTTTAATATAAATGGACAAAAAATTGAGATTTATGCAGAAATAGAGATGAAGAGCAAAATTTATCCCTTGTAAAAAATTCTCACAAAATCCCCGTCTCCACGAATCGAGAAGGGATCCTCCAACCTTGTGAGACCTCGTTGTCATCTGTAAAAGCTAAACGAGAGACTTCGGCTATAAACTGATATTAGAGAGCAACAATGTTGGCAATGCCAAATGACCCCCCGGTGGATGGAACGGACAATGACAGTGGGACCAAGTACCAACGCAGACACCATGAAAGCGGTAGTGGTGTAGGTCCTAGTGGTGTAGGTCCATAATTTATTCAAGGATTGTGATGTTGGGGGACAGTGATAGCGAAGTTTTAAGAAGAAAACACATATAGGACTGAGGCTGAATCTTTAGGGTGTTAGGCTTCCGTGATGGTGGTGCTGTGTGTTATTATTATTATTATTTTTTAACAATTTTGATATTATTTACAAGTATATATATATATATGAACGAGAGGAGAAATGATTTTCATGAAATTTGAACACGCTATTCATATAAATGAACAATTTTAATTTAAAATCTAATGTCATTGGACCGAAACAGGTCATTCAGTGGTGCTGTGTGTTATTATTATTATTATTTTTTAACAATTTTGATATTATTTAAAAGTATATATATATATATGAACGAGAGGAGAAATGATTTTCATGAAATTTGAACACGTCACCCATATAAGTGAACAATCTCAATCTAAAATTTAATGTCATTGGACCGAAACGGATCATTCAGTGGTACTGTGTGTTATTATTATGGCCACACACTTTTTTTTATCATATTGTAATTATTTATAAATTAATTTAAAAATAAAAAAAAATTTATGAGATTAAAACATGCAATTTACGTAAAGTAAATAGTTTTAATTTAATGATTAATGTCACTCAGTCCAAACGGATCATTCATTATGATTACGTATTTTATTATTGTTATATCATTAATTTATTATTATGTTCTTAATTTATAATTTTTTTCGTTTAAAACAATTGATTAAACGAAAGGATGATATGGTGTCTGTTGCTGTTGCAGATTAATTTAAGGGTGGTCACAACCGCAATTATGTTAGGGTTGGTTTAATTTGTAGTATTTATGTTGTTGAAGAGAGTGCGTGTAAATCACTATTAAGCGGAGAAATAATATAGTAAAACTTACTAGAATAATATGTTTTTAGTTATAGATAGTGATATATAAATAATTTTTTAATGTAATTTTTTATATATTATTAAATAAATAAATATGTTTAATATTATAAA